CTGTTAGTTCGACAATTCAGGAGATTCTGATGCTGTAAGAGCTGATCAACTTTTAGTTGACAGGCCTTATCTATTTCATTAGTTACTACACTATATATGTGGCATATAAACATTGATAATGGTTCTTTACATATAACAAAATCTTTTGAATTGTAAATCTCTAATAATTTAAACTTTAAAATTAATATACAAATAAATAGTCATATTCAATTTTCTCAATGGTCATTTTTCTGCAAGCAGTTTATCTGACATCATAAAAAGTGATAATTTACTAATAATATATAACTGTAACTAATAGAAATGATAACTCTAACCCTATGTAATGCCAGGTAAATGGCTTGGTGGTGAAATAACCATAGGAAAATGAGCACCACAAATAAATCCCAAAAGTTAATATCTCAAGCTAACCTCCATTATCACATCTTATTTTATATTCCCCGAAAAGTAGCAAATCTTGCCAAAGATTCTCATGCCAAAATTCACTTTTTTCTTTTTTAACTATGCTAGGTCCGAAGTATAATTTTGGTATAAGTATTGGATTATTCAAGATTTTTTCCAAATGTGTTAAAGGAGATATTGTGTAGGCCTTCTTAGTATATACAAGCACTGAGGGTGCTTTTTGCTTGCAAATAGATATATCATGCTGGTGTATTCTAACTAGAGGAAATCTGTGTCTCTATTTGCAAATGCATCAAATATTCTGTACTATATCTTCTTTACGAAAATTAGGGTGTTGGAGGATTTTAGAAAGATCTTCATATGCACTAGTTGCTACATACGTATATATGTAATAAAGATAAATGATTTATAAGTATATAGTATACACTTATTTAGATTCTAAAAATGATATCGACTCAGATTGGAGTCTGTTACTATGTAATACATAAATAAATCTAAATTTAAAAAATTTTATTCAAAAAGGAAATTTATTAAAAATTTCTTTTTGGATTTAAACACGAATTCAAAAATGGAACTTTTAACAATGAAAATAATCAGTAATCATTATTTTAATTTCTATTTTTGAATTCTGTCACTATTTATATCTAATGTTACTTACAAATCATGTACTTTGTGATCCAGATATATAACATCGCAGATGTAAAATTTGGAAAATACAGATCATATTCTCCATTAAAATCTTCAAATTCTGAGGATTCTTCCTCAAAAATTTCATCACTTTTTGGATCGTCTTCTATAATATCAATTAGTGGCTCATGTATGGGGCCCAGAAAATTGCTTGGTGAACGATTGTATATATTATTATTTTCATCTGTATTATCATCAGAATTATCTGAAAAATATTCTGTAAAATCATCATTCTCATCCGTATCATTATTTTCATCTATACTATCATTCTCATCTGTATCATTATTTTCATCCAAATCGTTATTTTTATCCATATTATCATTCTCATCCGTATTGTTATTTTTATCCAAATCATTATTTTTATCCACATTATTATTTTCACCCATATCGTTATTTTTATCCATATCGTTATTTTTATCTATATTATCTGTATCATTATTTTCATCCATACTATTCTCATCTGTATCATTATTTTTATCCATACTATTCTCATCTGTATCGTTATTTTTATCCATATTATCATTC